GAAAGTACATGAAACTAAAGTAGATAAAGAGGGCAAATAATAGAAAAAGACAAATAGCGTAAAAATGTTAATGCTGGCGCCATCTGTGGAAGATACATGAAACTAATGTAGATAAAGAAAACAAATAGAAAAAGGATGAAAATAGGTAAGAATTGACTATCAGCACCATCTCTTAATTACTTTTAGAATAATTTTTCTTGAATAAAAACTTTTCAACTCGAGAGATGGCGCTAAACATCAGTTTTTAACTTATTTTTATCTCTATCTTTCTTCTATTATTTTCTTTCTTTGTTTAAATTTGTGTTTCATTTGCGGCATTCTAGAGATGGCGCTGATATCAGAATTTTTATTCTATCTCTGTCTTTCTCCTATTATTTGTTCTCCTTGTCTATACTTATATTTTGCGACATTATAGAGATGGCGCTCGCGAATTTTTATTCTATTTCTTATTATTATTAAAAAAGAAATATGAATTATGAATGAATGGATGTAATTTTTTCTCATATATTTAAATTTAATTATATAATTATTAATAAATATGATATTATCTAGCATAAAATGTTGCTCTTCTTTCGAAAAACAGAGTAATAATTTCTGAATGTACATTAACCTAAAAAACGCTTATTTTCATATGAGTCTTGATAAAGTACGTTTCGATAAAGCTCGGTGAACGATTGTCTAGATATAAGTGAAACATAACGTTAAAAAGAAATATGTTTCAGCCGAATTTTCGCGTTAAACTCGATTTAAGTAAATTTTACAATGATGCGCGTCGTTTTTCTTGGATTTTTGTCGACAGTACAAATATGTTTCAAATTAGTCATTTAAAACAGCATATTACGGAATTGTTGAATATCAATGAACCATTCCATTTATTACTAAATGAAAACGAATATTTACCACCCAGCGAGAATATACGCATTTTAAAAGAAAATGAAATAATTCTGTGAGAATTTAAAAAAAATATATATATAAAAATCTATCGTGTTATTTATATGAAACTGTTGCAGGGTTTCTCCTGGATCTGGATTAAATAGCCACTTTGATTTATCTATAAATAATCACTTCGACTCAATTACAATTTCACCAAGTGAGAAAAATATACAAGAGTTAGAGAATAGTTTTAGGAGTCCAAATGAAACTAAAAATTTATGTCAAAAGCAATTAAAAATATCAAGTGTCACGAATATATCTCAAAATGGTAAGAACATATAATGAAATAATTAACATAATCAAATTAAAATCTATTGATATAAATTTTATAGAAAAATTTGATATATCTACAAATCTCTTCACATGTCCAAAAAGAAAACGTGTAAGACATAGAAAAAAGAAAATAACAGATGAAGAAACAGTGATACAAAAAAAAGAAAATGAATTAAACAAACCTAAAATTATTAATTCTTATATTATTCCTTTTGGCAAACATATTCGTTTTGATGATTTAGAAGATAATGATGAGGAAAGAAAGCCTAAATGTCAACAAATAATGAATGGAACTAATACAACTCATGTATCACCTTCTCATGAATTAGCTAATTTATTATCATTAAGTAATAATTCTACTCCTGTTACTTTTACAAATATTAAAAATACAAATATTAAAGTAAAAGAAATACAGGACCCATGTGAAAAAGTAGAATCTCATGAAAATAAAAGCATAGCTTCAACTAATAATATTAATTTAGAAAAGTTATTAAATATAGATTTCAAAACATATCCAATTATGATAGAAAAACCACAACTTAAGGATATTATTGCATTTAAGGTAATTTAAAATATTAATATTTGTTATAATATATATTATTATATATTAATATATATTATATATATATAATTAATTAATTTTCAGATGCTCAAAATTGGATCAGATTATACACCACAAATATCAGACTTTATTGTAGCAGAGATTTTATCTTATTGTCCAGAAACATCAGTATATATTCTTAAAATATTACGTATGTGATTTTTTATTAATATATATATATATATATATATCAGAAAAGAAATT